ATATTGTAAGGAACTAAGACTTTGTCCATGATCGTTGAACCTCAAGTAAGACTTCATCACACTTTGAGTTTCTTCCTTATCTTATGTTTGTGACTTTTATGTTCAAAGTATATTAATTTGTTCGTTCCCAGTCGAATTTATTGAAATGAAATATATTATACGTGTATATTTCTATTCTAGATGGCAATCATGAAACAGGTATTCAGTTTTAAGAGCTTCTTCGATGTACTACTAAATCCTGGATCAACGTTCAATTATATGTATAAACATTGTAGAACTTCTTGTTGGAAAAATCTTCTCACAATACCTTAACAAACCACATGATTTGCATTTGGAAGATGGTTTGTTATTCATTCATCAATTGATTATCCCTGACGTCAAATAATACGATTGATATTACTTTTGATTTATTCCTTCATTTTTCTACTGTTGTGTTAGTCATTACAATTATCACTTGCTCTCTGAAAACTGAATGATTTTATTAAGAATAGGCATAAAATGGCCAAGAAAACTCAGAAGAATAAGAAGAAGAGAAGTTTTGTGAAAATTGTTAACATTTTTTTAGTTGATGGTGGTCTTTTTTTCTTACTCTGATGTTTGGCTAGCTGCTTTTATCTTAGGTTACAGATGAAAAGAAATTCAAAGAGACAATTAATAGGTAAGTTTTCAATTTCCAATTTCCAATTTTCTTTTAGGTTTAATTCAATTTTTTGGTGGTTGACAAATTAAGGAAAAAGATTATAAAAAAAGGTTGTGTGACTTTTGGATCTAAGTTTATTGATTATTCAATTATACCTTGAGTGATCCTTACCCGACTAATTATCTAATTAATTGAAATTCGCTTTCGCTAGATTGAAATTTCAATTTTTTTAATTATGTTTCTTTTTTTCTTTTTTTTTTTTCAAAAAATCCTAGGGGGATTTATGCGTTGAAATCTATTTTCTAGGCTTTATTTATTGTAGTTAATTTTAATGGTTTATTTATGTATGGTGATTACAGGTTGTAACAAGAAGTAAGTTTCTTCTTTAACATGAAATATATCGAGGAAATGGTCAAAAAGGGAGAATGGAAAGCAATGAAAAGTTACTTATTTCGGTTTACTGTGGTTGATGATAACAGATACTCAATGAAAATTTTCTTCAAGGTCCAAAAGAAAAAGTACGTTGAAACCATAGATAGGTGATTTGGTTTCTGTTTAAATTAATATAATTGAATGTCTTCATTAGCTCTGCATTAATTTTCATATTCTTGTGGATTAATGTATATCTAAATTCATTTCATACTGTTTCTGAATTGTAGGAAAAATCTTCCTAAGCCATTCGTTATTATTATCTTTGTCATTTATTGGAGTTTGGATTTCTGTATTTTCTAGGAGTTTTTGATGTAAACGTAGACATGCAAGTGCTTCGAATGATTTTCTGAACCTCAATCGCGCTTCTTCTGTTGAAAAGTAAAACTTTTTGTTGTTTCTATCAATTTGTTTGTATCTATCACTATATATGTATAATGTTATAATAAATTATTTTGAAGCTTTAGTTTTTGATTTCTTGCAATGACTTAAAAAGTTTATTTTCTTTTATGTTTAGTTACTATAAATAATATACAAAAATTTTATACTACCCTTTGAATATAGTCATCGATCACATATTTATTATTCGTTTATTCGGAATCATAACTCTTCTGTTCATACATATACATATAGATCCTGAATATCAAGAGTTCCTCGAATTCTTGCAAAACATATTGAAAGTCTTCCCAGTTCAAAAATGCGATTGAAGAGGAAGGAGTTAGAACAAGCTTGTAAGGTAATAATTTTGACTTATGTGTATTCATAGGACGATCCAATAATTCATTTCTGAAATGGTACAATGTGAAAGCGAGTAAAGTTGTATTTTCTTTTTAGTTGAAACGATTTCCTGATTTCTTTTATTGATCCAAAAGACGCTCCTAGAGTTAGCTGGTTCTTGTGGGCTTCAATTATTCTAAATGAATTCACATTGATTGTAGATTCTTTTGTTTGTGATTTATGTCGTGCATTTTTTCAAACACTGGCAAATAATTAGTTTTGTAGATAAAATTGTTGCCATTGTAATCACCATACAAGTAGCGTTCTTTTTTTTTTTTTTTAATATTTCCTACAAAACTGCTACATTGTAATCACTGTATGATTCGCATGTTTTTATTTTTAAATTTTCTAAAAGGAAATTATGTTACAACTATTTACAAGGAAGATGGTATCCTGATGTTCTAACAAATAGGTAGACTTTTTGTATGGTTGCATCTAAATAATTAGTGCTTTGTTTTAACTTCTAGATTTTTGCATCTACTTATTGAAACACCGTGCCCAATTGCCTATTGGTTGGTTGATTGTTGTCCATATGTCATTGATATCTTCAGCACATATTGACTTCGTTATATGATAAGATCTCTTCATTGATATCTTCTCGGCATTACTTGAATATTTGTTACTGCAAGTTGCTTTCTATATTTATCAACTGATGTCACTTGTTCAGGGAAAATAACAATCCTAGTAGCATGTCTTTTTTTAAAGATCAATATTGATTAAGTACCGCTTTATATTTTTCTAGGTGTTAATTGTTTGGATTGCAATTGTTTTGCTGCTTTCTTGTGCTAACAAACCCAAGTCCAGAAAGTAGTAATAAAATTAAAAATGAATAGTTTTTCATTTAGTAAATTATGGATTGTGAGATTTTGAATGTTTAGCTGTTCTATTTCGGATCACTGAACCAAGAATAAGTGTGATTCTGTTTAAATAACTTATGTGAAGAGAAGCTCATTTTTAGTGGAGGTATTTTATCAACTTCTATGGTATTTGTTATTGAAGCCAAAGAAGGAATTTTGGTTTGTTCTTTTCAAGGTACTTTATTAGGAGCAACGACCACAACTCTAATTGAGCAAGAGAACAAAAGTGGGTTTGTTAAAGGGGCTACCGTTGTTTCCATCTATGGTGCTATTTTCTCAATCGAGGCCTTTATTGCTTTTATGGCAAGCACATGAATTTGAGATTGGGTGCATACTGTATTTGGTGAGCAACGAGCTTCACCTGACTAATCGTTCCATTATAGATTAGTTGTATGGTCAAATTGTTGATTCAATTGCTTAATAGAAACTTTTTACACGCATTCATCCTTTCAAACAGTGGACTTGTTAGTGACTGATCATGCTTTGAACTGATTATAATGACTTTTACAACTATACTCTGAGGCGATTATAATTTTGAAGTATTTCTTTGCATGGTCTTGAATTATACCTCTAAATCAGCATACAAAGATTGAAAAGGGAATCAATATCTTGGAAATATAGTGTTTGTTTATCTGCCTTTTCATTTCTATGCCATTTATCATTTCATTCAAGAGTGCGATTTCTTTGCAGGAGAACATACCCTAGAAATTTTTCAATGTCTTCAATGCACACGAGATGGCTTCAGTACAGTTGAAAAAGGATTGGAATTATTTACTTACAATAAACTCGAAGAGAAAAACATAAGAGTTGCAACTCTCTCCCGACCCCCACTTGCCTGCGTTCTTGTCATCATTTTTATTTCGTTCTTCATACCTTAGATCTTTCCTATCTATGCTATGATGCGGAAAGCAAGTTTTGAAATTTTTGAACTTTATACTGAAATCCTCTATCGTAGGCGATGGAGCAGCCGCTTTAATAGCCATTGTTCTTGTAAACGGAGGAGCAAGGATCATTTTAACTTTTATCTCACCTTCTACATAACCATCATCATAAAATCTATTTTCTACAGCAAAAGTCGACAGACTTTCTTGACTTTGTTGGCATCATTGTCTCACTCCTTTTCAGCTCCAAAATTAGTTTATTGGAGAAAATAATGCTGGAAATGCAGCAGCTGCCCTCATGGCTCCAAAAACCAAGGTTTGCTATTCTGAAATAGCTTCCAACTACAAATTGGCACCATTTGTTCACCTTAGTATCATATTCTCTTATCAATCTTTAACCTTAAATGAAAATGATTTAATCTGTTTCTAACTCCAGCTTATGGGAGTTGGGAAATGGAATGAAGATGAAGCCTCAATGTTGGTTCTTGGGAAATGGGAATACAATCAGTATCAAACTTGGAGATATTATTTGAGTTGATTCACACCTTATGGAAGGAAATCCTCTTAAGATCGATACATCCTTTAATAGTCATTGTCATGAACTTAAAATAAAGATATTCATCTGGCTTAAGATAGGCTTTGTAGTTAGTCTATTTTTCTTTCACTCAAGCTACTCTAAATAAAATACTTCCTTTGCTTCCCATAAACTCATTTAACCCATATATCGCATCAATCCTTAATACTCAACCCACTAATTGATTATAATAAACTCGCCACTACATCATCACAACTACTGACTACAAAAGGATTATCGACATCACCTAACTTTATTCTCTTCGTAACTTGTTACTTTCTTGTTTCATTGCTAAATTCATATAACACCAAAGACATTAACAATACTTCCAAAATGGTACAATCCGTGCGTTGCACGGGCAAAAAACTATATATACATATATATTTTATAAAATTGTACTTTATACTAGTTATCGTGTACATGGCTGACCATGACACTTTGAGTGGAACCTAAAAAAATGTCACTGTTTCATTTAATTTTTAGGGTATATTATTTTTCCCTTTTCTTATTTATGTGTCTTGGCATTTAAGATGAGTGATATTTTGTGATATACAATATTTAACACTTGACCCAAAAAAAAAAAAAAATCTTATAAATTAAGAAAAATATAAATACATATTTAAGCCACTATGTCCCTGTTTGGTAGCCATAAAACATTCTTAATATTTTTTTATTACTTTTTAATCATACATTCTCCTTAAAAATCACTATTAAAAGTATCTTTATCAACAATAATAGCCTCAAACAGGAACTCTATATCTCTCCAGTACTTCTATCTACGCGAGGTTGCGCGTAGTTGATTGGGTTCCACCAGGCAGATCAGCCAACCCAAATGTTGGCGCAAGGATTACACCAGCCGACCCACGACATAACCTGTTCAAGATATCGGCCCAATTCAAGGACAATAGCGTCATTTCACCTTCCAATCATCCGCGATTCGCCGATACCCCATTGCGAATAACATTTTTATTTCGCAGCAAAACATCTCCCCTTTGCTTTTGATCTCTCAAAATTTTCCGGTTCTTGTTCACATTTTTTTCGCTCTATATATATCGATTCAATCTATAGACAAATATTTTTGCACATCTTTCTAGATATGTAAATGCAGTTTTATGTAAACAGACGATTGCACATGTAAATAGATACCCTTTTCGTTCCACCGCAACCGACAATCTGAGAGGTCAAACTCTTCGTATGTCGGCTCTTATTTTTCCGGCACCTTAGTTTTTAGAATCTTATTAGATTTTCATAGGCGGCATGGTATTTTGGATCGATGTGGATTTGGATGTTTTGTTAAGAAAACGTTAAAATTAGGGTTTTGAATTTCTGAAATAATAGGGCCTTTTTTGCGGCGTCTTTGTGATTAAAAGTTATCGAGTATTTTGAATCCATTTGAAATTTTTGTTGGCGGGTTTATTTTGAACTAAAACGTTGGTTCGTTTTAGTTTGTAAGTGGTCGAGTTATCGAAACTAGTATTGGAGTTTTATGAAGGTTAGGGTCTTTGGGATTGTGGAACGAAATTAGTTATGACTCGGAGTTCGAGGCACAAATCCCATAAACAAAGCAAACACAGTTCCAAGGACTATTCGGATTCTGAAGAGGATGTAAAGTTGAAGGAGAAAAGTAGTAAAGATGACAATCCAGCCAGGGATGATCGCGGTCCAACCTTGGGTGAGAAACGGAAAATTTCGTCTCAGGCGAGAGAAGGAAAGGATGGTAAAGATATGAGAAATGGTGAGGTATCAGAAGAGTATGTTTTGTCAAAACGTAGGAAAGAGAAGGCCAACGTTGGCAAAGAGAGGGCTGGTGTGAGTGTGGGCGTTGGTGATGATAGGTGGAGGGGTTATGGAGAGGAGAAAGGTGATACTGATAGGAATGATAAAAAGGAAATAACTAAAGGGGAAAGTTCGAAAATTGACTCGAAACTGAAGGAAAGTTTGAGAATTGAGTCGAAGATTAAAAATAAAAGGTATGAGAATGGGAGTGGGAGTGGGAGTGGGAGTGGGAGTGAGATTAAGGAGGATAATATAGCATCCCTGGCGGTGGAGAAAGAGGAGAGTGAACGTAAAGGAGGGTCAAAGAGGAAGTCTGAGAGGGATTCTTCTGGGTGGAAGGAAGCAAAGGAATCTAAGGATAAGGGTCGTGGATCGGAGAAGGAGAAGGAAAAGGAGAAGAGTATTGGGGAGGAGAGTAAGCGTGGGGATGCTGAGGTGAAATCCGTGGATGTGCATTTTGGACAGAAGGAACGGTCACTGTTAGGATATTTTAGCGAAGAGACAAAGGCTAAACATGGTCGAGAAAATACTGGTAAGGTAACTTATTGTTGTGACATGCATGAGAAATTGGAATATGTTTTGTAGTAATAGGATTTTCTGTTTGATTTACAAATGCTTTAATTTATTTTAGTGCAGGTTCTTAGTGGGTATGCTAGGGTTGTATGTTTTGAGTGCCTTGGTTTCAAAGACTGTAGTGCACCCTCCCCCTGTAGAAGGTGGAGTAACTATTGATGGTATTCTTGTTTAGTGAGTGATGTCATTGGTGCTGGTGCATTTGATTTGCACTGGAGGGTGCACTATCCAAAAGACCTGTAACTTCGATTAAGTTTATGAACATTATATTGCTCTAATGAAATAATAGGAAAATTTTAGGGGGGTTGGTATATGAAGTGAAAGAAGTTCGTCTGCAGACATAGTTTTTGACCCCACTATTGATCAAATTTTCTGTCCAGAACTTGTAGAATTTGTGTTTGGGCATCTAGCAGTTTGGTTGGAAGTTCCATGGTTGAACTTCTTTTGGCTGGTTGATTTTTTACGATGCATATTAAGTGTATCTTAGATTCATTAATACTACAATTTGAAGTATGAGGATAATAAACCGTGTTTGATCTGTAGCCTCCCTAATTCCTACCCACTCATATATTTCTCCTAGGTAATATGAGCTAGTGCTATAGTAGTATCATTTATCCATTTCATACTAGGTGTATTAAGTGGAAGCATGAGAACTCATATATATTTGACTATGCATGAAAAGTTGATTCACACGTCTTTGAAATGATCTCTATTGCTTGTCGTATCATTTTTTCTGCCTAGAGAAGCAATCAAATATCTCTAAAGGTCATCTTTTACGATGTCCTTGCGGTGATACTAAATCCAATTCCCCATATATACTTTTATCAAACAATAGCAAAAATTCGTAAATTGAACAAACGGTTTTTTTTTTTTTTGCTTTTTTTTTCTCTTTTTTTTTCTTTTTTTTTTTTTTTTAAAGTTTGATTCATGCATATGGAAACCTCTCTGGTGCTGTCTTAGATCGTTTGCTGGATTCAACTTGTGCAATTTGTCACTATTTTGTAAGTTGTTGATTTTTATTTGATGTCTATTCGTAATCCTTTTGGTAGAGTGGCCTTTACAAGATGAGTTGAGGAATCCTGAGTTGGAGAAGGAACTCGATAAAAGGATACGAAGGAGAAAAGAAGGTTCTGATGTTATCAAAGAAGTTGACGAGAGGCGATTGTCATCAAGAGCTGATCTTGCCAAGGATGTGAAATACAGAGAAGATAGGCACAAGGACGGAGGTAATGAGGACAAGTATCAGAAAGATGGCCAAAAAGATGGTAGGAACAGGGATGACAAGTACCGGGAAGATGCTGACAAGTATAATAAATCTCGGGATCGTAGGTATTGGGAAGATGGTGATAAAGATGCCAATAGAGATGATAGACGTCGAGAGGATGGCAATAGAGACAGCAAACGTGAGGATGAAAATTTTCGGGACGATGGCGAGTATGATAAAAGGCAGAAGGATGACAAGTATTGGGAAGGCACTGCAAGAGATATTCAAAACAAGGATGATAAGTACGCCGAAGATGGCGAGAGGGGTAATAGACGTAGAGATGATGGGTACCGTAGGCATCATGAAGATGGTGACAAAGATGACAGACAGTGGGAAGATTATAGAGGAGATGGTGGAAGAGATGTTAGATACAAGGAAGATAAGCATCGAGGAGATATTGAAAGAGACAGTCGGCATAAGGATAGCAAGCGAGGAGATGATATTGGTAGAGAGGAGAGACTGAGAGAGGCTAAGTATAGGGATGAACGTGCCTCAAGAGACTTATCTGGTGACAAGTCAGACCCTAAGCACTCTAGGGATGATGGTTATGCTGAAGATCGTCGCTCCAGGAAATTAATCGCATATGATGATAGTCCAAAACTAGGTGATCAAACTGCCAGGTATAAAGATGGTCAGGGTAGGAGAAAAACTAAGGACGGAAAGGATTACGATGATATTAGGTCCCGAAGTGCCAAAGATCAGGGGCTCGAATCGGATAAGAAATCTGCCAGCAGTGCGAGAATGGACTTAGTTACTGACAAAGGAAGGTCCATCTCTAGGAATGCTGATGTGGGACTTCCTTCTAATCATAGCAGACGGTACAGATCTCCCAGCTCAAGTTCTCACGTTACAAGGGATCCCTACAGGTACTTGATTATGTGCAATTATTTATTGACTATAAGTTCAAGTTCATTTAACACAATAGAGACATATAGGGAATGGTTGGTATCCTGAATGGTGCAAAAACCTTTGATCATATATTGGCACTTAAAACTTTTTACTTTCTCATTGTTGTTGTATTATGAAGATCGTTAATCTGAAAGTTCTATCTGTTTGAATGGCTCGGATAAATTGCTGGTAAACAATAAAGTTCTCCCTGGGAATTTTGCGTTGTTTTCTATGGAATGGAAAATTAGACACTGTAAAAAACAAGTTAGCTTTTCCCTTGATAATCTTCCCTATTCCTCTATGGATGATCCTCTTCTGAATTCTATATATGCTGCCTTTTTTCTCTTTTTGGTGGAATATATCTACCAAATTTGAACTTATTAAGTGGATGAAGTTTTCATGTTGGATTATTTCTCTTTTTCTTTATTCTCTTTCCTTCATTTCTTCTGGGCTTGGCAGTGGTTTCTGTTGATTTTGGTGGAATGGATTGACTTATTAGCAGAGTTTTGTTGGTAAAGAATTTAAGAATTTAAAACAATATACAAGGTGTGTTCTTGTTATGTGATTCATTTACATTAATGCTACTCTGCCCATTCTAGTTCTGCCAATGTCACATTGAACTTGAAATTGTCCTGGTATGTTCTTGCCATATTTTAGAAACTTGTTAATGTTTGATCTGTCCAGTAGAGGTATTTGCAGCCTTTTTCTAGAATACATAGCATGCTCAACAAATTTATGCACTTCATTTCCTCAACTACAGGACTGACCAAACATGAATCTATGCCCATATGCTGTTTTTCAGGCTCCCAAATTATGCTTACGAAGAGAGAGTTCGGTACAGTGGAACTTCTAGCAGAGATTATTTTGGTGCTGCGGGAGGAGCTTTGAGTGCAACTCCATCTAGATCGATGGAGAAACCTGGTCTAAAAGAAGATGGCCAGTTGGGGGAATTGTCAGCTGAAAGACCTCTGAAATCTGACATTCGCTCATCGCCCTTGCAGCTAGCGGATAAATCCCCATCATCGAGCACCGATTGGAGACACTTCAATAGATCTGATATAAGGCAGAGTTTTGATTTGGAAGAATCAGCACAGCAAAGTTTGCCAGATGCAAAGGGGTACTCTTGTAAGGAAGGCAGGGGAAGTCGTGAGTTGGTCATGGACATGTTTCCTGGAGATGAGCTTTCACAGGCTGGGGGAGATAATTTATCGGTTTCTTCACCTTTTACGAGAAATAGCCATTTATCAAACAGTTTCAAGTCAACACCACCTTTTCCTCTTTTCAGGACTGGGTTGGATAGCCCTTCAATATTAGGATCTGCTGAAGATGACGGCAGAAGTAAGTCAAATAGCCATAATAGGAGGATTAGCAATCCCAACTTGGGAAGAGTTCAAGGAAATGCTTTGAGAGGTGTACCAAATTGGCCTTCCCCCTTGGTAAATGGTTTCATTCCTTTTCCCCACGGTCCACCTTTTCATTCAGCGATGCAGCAGTTTCCTGGTCCACCAATCTTTGGTGTTAGATCATCAATGGAGTTAAACCATCCCTCTCCTTACAATATGCCTGGTGCTGAAAGGTTTTCTGGCCCTGGGCGTCCTATGGGATGGCGCAATCCGGTGGATGATTCTTGCCCTCCACTGTTGTTTGGTTGGGATTCAAGCAGTGCTGTCTATGGTGAGGAATCTCAAATTTATGGAAGACCAGATTGGGACCATTCTCGGAGCCTGCCCAGTAGTCAAGGCTGGGAGGCAAGAGGAGATTTGTGGAAGGGACCGTATAAAACTGCAAGAATGGATGTGCCATTTTCTGATAAAGAGAATGACTTCTCTCAAATTGCAGATGAAGCTTTGGTTGGTCGGTCGATTCAACAAGCTCAGAGCGAGCTAACTCCACATGATAAGCATGCTGAGAGCACTGACATTAATCAATCAAGAGATAGTTTGGAAAATAATGATTCTGAAGCTGCTTGTAATAATCCAGAGGAAACTAACGACATTGCTAAAATGTCAAGAAAGGATGATGAGTGTCTCTGCCGATTTTACTTTTCCAAGCTTGACATATCTGCCGATCTTACTGAATCCGAGTTGTTTACTAAGTGCACAGGCTTCCTTGATATAGATCAGAATATTATTTCTGACGTAAAAGAATCTAAACTTTTTTATATGGAGGTAAAATGACAAGCCAGTTATGTATTTCATTGCACTGTCTTATAGATTTGCCTAGGTAAAAAGTTTATTTTTAATTCCAATTTTTGTTTTCCTTGACAGGAAGCTGTAGAAGCTACAGCAGTATCTCCTAATATAATTAGCAATGTTCCACTGTTTTCTGCCACCAGTGATTCTGTTTTCCAGGTAAAGTTTTGTTGTGAATAGTGTGTATCCCTTTCTTGTTTAAAGAATAATTTCTAATGTAGTGCAGCATACTCATATTGGCATATAACCAAATTATCAGTAATTCTCAGTTTCATTGCTGAGGTAGTAAGGTCATTTGTGTATTTGAAAAGCTGCAAAACAGCCCTTGTGTCAATTAGCCAGTACAAAATTATAATTCTGGTGCCACCTGGGTATGCTGGCCAGTGGATTTTTGAATGTCCTTAACTGTTTATTGCACGATTTGTGGGTCCTTCGAAATGTGTGGATAATAAATATGCTTTACGAGCTTAATTATAATTTAAGCTTTGCCAAATATGCTCTAAATTGTATTCATCTAAGAGTAAACTTCTGTTATTGAGGCAAATTAGGATTTTGACCATCTTGGGCAACATCTTGCTCATAGTTTAAGACTAAGATCAATAGGAAGCCTGGAGAAAAATGAAATATTTTTTGAGATTTACTTCTTTTTATCTGATATCTGTGAGGAGTGGTGCATATATAATATCATAAATGGTAGAAGTATTCCTTACCATTTTGCTTGCGCTCCATCCTCTGTGATGCAGAAAGCAATATCATTATATAAGAGGCAGAAAGAAGACTTTGGAGATATAAATGAAGAGTTGAGTGCAAAGATCGAGTCAATTCCAAAATGTAATGAGGAACTGAATGCTGAAGATAACAATACGGAGAGGTCTCCAGCTGGTGGCATGCAAGATGTAGGGAATGCTCTTTCTAACTCCAACGGGAAGGCAAATAGTCTTCAAGTGGAAGAGTACCCCAAAAACTCCCATCTGAAGCCCAATCTACCAGATGTGAGCGTGGTGGAAAAATCAGAACCAGTTTCTTCCTCCAAACGTGTTAACATGGACGTGGATTTGATCTTGAACGAGGTGCCACAGGAGCATATTCTTGAGAACCCTTCATCTATTGAATGCATAGAAAAATCTTCTGCCAATTTATCTGCTGGGGTCGGAGAAGTGCATATGGAATTTTCAAGTAACAGTGGGGAGCTGAATGTATTTGATACTAAATGTGGTCCTGCGCGCAATTCTGATGTGTCTTCCACGGCAATGATGCCAGGGTTAATTGAGTCTGCGCCAGTAAATTTGAGTCGGATACATCATTCTCCTGAAAGTACACATTGAGACAATTTATTTTTCTGAGCTTTTGAAATGAAGCTCATATTTTCTTATCTTACATATCTTTGCTTGCTCTCCATAACCAGTTAATATTTAATTTTTATTTTTCGAAAGTTATTCGTCTAATTAGGTGGGAAACATGGTCGGGTTCCTTGCTCCGGGAGTACGGGGAAGCAGTTAAATGACCGTAATTCATTAGCTTTATGGTCTGCTACATTTAAGAAGTAACCTACAATGTTGCAACCTAAACGACCTTTTGTCTACACATTTTAGTCATATTTGGCTGTAGATTTGAATAATAGGACTCAACAAAGTAAAGAAGAAAACGAAATTAAAATCTTTTCCTTTCTGGGACATAAGAATTTGGACCTATTTTATCCTGTTCAGATTTCAATCTGGCCCATATAATCAGTATGGCATTCTTGCAAAAGATTATTAGATCTAATTATGCAATAGGCATGATGCATGCCTGTGTTAGCTTATAAAATTTGCTTACAAGGAATTAAGTTCGTTTAATAAATACTCCTGTTGGTCACAAAGAAAACACTCACAAGGGTTTATATAACATTGAAGTTTTTATGTCGGCGACAGAAATTCAAGCTTAGGGAATTGTTGATCTTGTAGTAGTTAAATAAAAATACAATGGATTTTATACAAATTCATGATTTGAAATTTTATTTACGAGTTTAATATTCTATTAAATAGAAATAATTAATGACCATCCAGTTATGATCAATCTAAACTAGTCCATTAAGTATTTTATTCAACATGCCAACTATTAAACAACTTATTATGCCCTCGTTTGGCTTCCTTTTTCTTTTTTTCTTTTTTTTTTTTTTGAGAATGTGGTTAAAAAAAATTTGATTTACGTGTAATATTATTTTATGGGAAATTCTGTAGTTGAAAATAAGAGAAAATTTGAGAGAGAAGGGGCAAACAGGAGCTACAAATACAAGACAATCAATTTGAAATGTCATGAAAGATGTCCTTAGCTTCGAGTAACATGTACTAGAGTGTGCGACTCGTTTAGATTTTAGGCTAGCACGAAAAAAGCAAGAAAATCGCTTTCTAGTATCAATGATTAGTGCCAGACTATGAGTAAATAAGATAGAATAGAATAAAGAACCACATTTACTATCTATAAATAAGCAAATTGATCCCTCCATAGTGTGTGAAGTTTATGATTTTCGTTGGTGCAAATTCAATCACTTGAATTTAAGATGAGAAGCAATTCTCCTTTTGTAGCAAAGGGTTATTTATTAAGCGGAGGAAATCTTATTTCAATTTCAAAAACATAAAAGCGAAGCGTCCACTCAAGGACGGAGTGATGGTCAGCATCTAAAGATTGATTGGTTAGGTAAAAACATTTCATTGTTCTAAGGTAAAAAAAAGTAATATTGATTAAGATTAAAGTGTGGCAGAGACTTGCATACAAGTCGTATACACTCGAGAATATCACATAGGTTAGAATATGAATCAATAATTGGGCTATGAATGATTTTTGAATATTTCCTCCTTTATTATGTAATTCACTATGGTATAATAAATGTCCACAATTTAGTCATATTGTCAACTTTAAATAGTAATCTACGATAGCGATAATAATGAAATTAAATTATTCTTCAATTATATTTTAACACCAGTATTTTTCAAATTCTGAAAAGGAAAACAGTTGGGATCCTCACCAGATTTTAACCTTGATTTTCTCTCTGTCGTATAAACCTCCATCTTATAAAACAAGATACATGCATAGCAGAGAGAAACCACTTTAATATCCAAACTGTCACTAAAACTACAATAATTCTACTTTAACAAAGTTCGGTTACAAAAATGGCTTTACAAAGTGTGTTGGTGAAATCCAGACCACTGATTTCAAATGATTTAAAAATTTATTTTTAAAATGATTGGTGTAAATCCAACTTTGTTATCCAATTTTGTCACTCTTTTGTCATTGTAGCAGAACTCCTAAAACTAATAGGGAAATCCAACCTTTTGTCATCCTGTTTGGCATATCTATATTTCAAAATAAAGAACCCACAAAAAATCAACGAAATAGATATCCGCATACTCGCACACATACACAGGTGGTGAAAAACAAGCTGCGTTCAGCCTTGCCTAGATTCTTTCCTAAGCTTGCTTGCATCCTTGCGGCAATATTCTGTGTCTGAGATTTGTGGAGAGAATAAATATGGCTTTGTAAATACAATGTCTCAGATTTCATTTCAAATTCTGACTATAATGCACAGAAATTGAGTGTTCAAATTAGTAAAATCAAATTCCTCCTGCAAAGATTGTCATAGAGAATCTCCAATGTAACGTCCAGCAAACAAAGACAGCAACTGATCTCATAAAGTTAGATAAGGTATGATCTTTCTGTTACAAGATAAAAGTAATCAATCAATTTCTCCACATTTCAAATGGTATATAGGATGGCAATAATTTGATCAAAGTTTTTGGTATCTTGCAAGGCAGGCTCCATCAGAAGTTCAAATACATCCACCCAACTGTCAAAAGAGAGAGTGGTCAATGAACAACTGGAAAACTGAAAAACATAAATGGATACCACGTCCAGGAAATCATTAAAGAATGAAAAAAGACGATGGCCAAGCACACCCATGATATTCGAACCATAAATGCAAACATTCAAAATTCCGTATCATACAGAAACTACAGCATCATGATTTGCCAAAGGGTGGTGAAAGGAACGTTGGACATAATAATTCAAAGGATTTCCTACATGCTAACAAATGTGCTAGATTTTCCTGACACAGCTTTTTCCTTCAAAACGCAAGTTGATATAGACAAACGATATTTAATGAAAGCTGAGACCATAGTGATTGGTCACGTGGAACCAATAAGTTGATGGAATGCATGGATGGAAGAGATTTTATGACAGATTAGACTCAGAAAGCATAAAAACTAGATTGCATCACACATTCATAACACTATATACACTCTAATTGTTCCATACCAAGATAGCTTCAATCTCCTCTTGTGACACTGGTGTCCTTCTCGGCTGGTCAGAAGCCTTTCCACCCAAACTCATGCTGGATGGAGACCTTGAAAAAAATGTTTGTGGAACATGCCCAACTCCCGATGTTTCTTGATGCTGGGGGCCTGTACCTGAAGAGGAACCGCCTTGTAAGCATTAATCTAAATGATTTGGGTTGATACTGAGAAAGAATTGAGTCATGCTATAGGCACAAAATTCATTTCCCAACAAAACAAGTGATGAGGACATCTAGTTTTTTTATTTTATTTTAGTTCGAATTTTATTTTGTTTATTTTAGTTGGGTTATTTTTATGGACTTGTGTAATGGGCTTGGCCCTCTCTCTTTGGGGTTTATTTTGCTATTTAAAACTTTTTTGCCATGTAATGGAGACAGTTGATAATTGAATAAAGATTTTTGGTAGCTTGTGGCGAAATTCCCCCTCTTCCCCGTTCTTCTTCTTCCTCAATCCCTTCCCCTGATTTCTTCTTCCTGATTCATTGATTTTCTCTTTTTTCAGTAATTTCTATTGATGCTGCATCAAATTTGGTATCAGAGTCGAACCTTAGATAATTTCTTTTCTTTAATCCAAAATTTCTTCCTATTTCCTTCCCAAAATCTGTTGGAACAACACAAACTAAAAAGATTTTTGGTAAAGGTAGCAGTTTTTTTTTCCTTCTCCAATTTTCAGTCTTAGTTGAAAAAAAATAAAAAAATAAAAATCGTTACTGTTCATCATACTGTTCACAACCGGAAAATTTAGTTTTAGCATTTTCGTCAGTTTCCCCAAAAAAAAAAAATAAATAAATAAAATTCAATTTTAAAGTTTTAGGCGTTTGCTGATGCTAAGTGTGCCGTTTCATAAATTTCATTCCTAACAATCAAACCCTACTTACATTCAGCCTACATACAAGATCAGCCCACCTTTCGTTAACCTAACCTAATAATAATACATATACCCACAGATAATTATTACCCGCGAGCCCATTCTTTTTATCAAGACATTTGGGCAATAAACTAGTGGCCCAAATTATTCCCAATCCCAGTTAAAAACTCTCTCACTTAATCCATTTCTTCTGAGTCACCACGGCCACCATAAGCCACAGTCACCAGACAAATTGTTCCACTTACACAAACCAGACGCAGTACACCCCTTCACTTTCACACTCAAGACAGAAGTCACAATCATCGCCACCGCCACTTGCCATCGCCAACACCACACAGAGGGACAGTTTTTACATACACCATCAGCAGAACTAAAACAGCAATCACTCATATTCACAAGAAACCACTTGAAACGAAGGAAAGGACGCAATTATATCCAAAACCCATGTGTCAGCAGTTCAAGCAACAAAACAACAGGGAGTCCTCGACCTCCATTTATTGTTGATTTACAACACTGCTTCATTTTAAGATCGCATCATTTACATTACTTGTGTTGTTGTTCTTTGATAATTGTAGCCTAAAAAATCCACTTGATCAGAATTTCTGAGTTAACATCCATTGTTTCCCAATTACCCCCACGTGATTAGACCTTTCGAATAGGCATTTGTGTTCTTGCTTTCTATTTTATTTGCATCAGTATTATTAGCTTGCCACGTTCGGCCCTACGTAATCCCATCTTTTTTTTTTTCAAGTATCTTAAAAAAAAATAATAATAATAATAATTGCTATTTTACTGTTGGTACCCGTTGTTTATTGATCTCAGTAGTACATTTTATTTAGCTAGTGTTACTTTGTATGCATTTGCTTAGTGATCGCGTTACTAACTCTAGTTCTAGTATCTTTGCCATGGATCCGTCCCAAATTGAGGCCCTTACCCGACAGTTGGAACAATTACAAAATCAATTAACGACTGTCCAAACTAAGATAACTGCTACTGATGAGGAGAATAGGGCACTAGCCGTTAGGTTGAACAATCTTGATCCAACCCCATATTCAATTGAAGCTAAAAACTCTGAAGTCTTCATTAATGGACCTCATCGTCGTCCACAAGGTGGTCGACACCATGCCAGACATAATCGCAGGGATGGAAATCAGGCTGGTAGACGAGAACAAGAACATCACATCTTACACATGAGCTTGTCCTTAGAGGCGCCTCCACTCTTGACCACGCCTACTCTTTCGTTCGGGATTACGAGTTAATGATTAGGACACCATATAGAACTCGTAGTGAGCTTGTCCTTAGAGTCGTCTCCACTCTTGACAAGACCACACCTACTCTTTCGTTCGAGATTATGAGTTAGTGACTAGGACACCATATAGAACTCATAGTGACACCCGCACTGCAACCTCTTCTGCATCCACTCCATTCCCTAAGTCTATTCTAGGGCCTCCTTCTAATGCCACCCTTGCATCGGATAGTAAAGGTAAAGGTTCTGAGGTTGCCACGAGGAGCGTCTCTTTCGAAATATTAAGTTAGATGCCCCTACATTTGATGGTTGTATAGATCCTAGTATATTCAATCAATGGGTTAGAGAGATGGATCGCTTCTTCGCCTGGTATGGGGTCCCGGAAGATCAGAGGGTACAATTTACAAGTTTGAAATTAACTGGCACTACTAAATTCTTTTGGGAAAGTGTTGAGGACATCCTGGAGAGACGTCATGCTCCCTCTGTTGGGAGTTGGGATGAAATGAAGCGTCACCTTCAAGAAAAATATTTACCTAAATTTTACAGGAGTAACTTGGTGGATCAACGGAATGCACTCATGCAAGGCAATCGACCTGTGACTGAATACGTTGCTCAGTTTGATGAGTTTCGAATGAGATGTCAAGTCATTGTGGATGAGGTCATGACCTTGAGTAGGTTTAGGCAAGGCCTAAGGGATGATCTTAGACGTGAGCTTGTCCTTAGAGGCGTCTCCACCCTTGACCACACCTACTCTTTCGTTCGGGATTACGAGTTAATGACTAGGACACCGTATAGAACTCGTAGTGAGCTTGTCCTTAGGCGTCTCCACTCTTGACAAGACCACACCTACTTTTTCATTCGAGATTATGAGTTAGTGACTAGGACACCATATAGAACTCATAGTGACACCCGCACTGCAACCTCTTCTGCATCCACTCCATCCCCTACGTCTATTCTAGGGCCTCCTCCTTCTAATGCCACCCCTGTATCGGATAGTAAAGGTAAAGGTTCTGAGGTTTCAAGAGCGTCTTCCCGTTTGCAATGCTTCAACTGTAAGAGTTTTGGTCATATTTCTTCTAAGTGTCCTAACTGAGCCCTAATTATGGAAGAGCGTGAAGGTATAGTTGACAAGCAATTAGAAGACCAGGTTTATGAACCTAAGTTGGAAGAGTTTGATGACTTGAAGGATAGTGAAGATACCTTCTTAGGTTGTATTCAGACTAGTCTCCTTATCCCACATACGCCTCGAGTCGGAGTCGTCCGTTGCACTCTTACCCAGCCTAGGGATGCTGATGATTGGCGTCGTCATACCATCTTCCACACTTACATCAAGATCCATAACAAGGGCTGTAAAGTTATTGTGGATAGTGGTAGCTACATTAATGCGATTTCGATAGCTACTGTATCCTGTCTTGGGTTAAAAGTCAGTTCCTCACCCTCAGCCGTATAGCGTCTCTTGGCTTGATACCTCTTCTATAGCTCTCAAGGAGCGTTGTCTAGTCCCTATCCAGTTCTTCGAGTATAAGGACCATATATGGTGTGACGTTATTTCCATGGATGTCGGGCACATCATTCTGGTACGACCTTGGTTATTTGACCTAGATGTAACTATCTATGGTCGATCCAATTCCTGTTCTTTCGTGTTTAATGGAAAAAAGATTCACCTTAATCCACTGCCCCCAAAACCTCTTGCTCACACGAAACAAAGAAAAGTGTGGAACGAAAAGGGCTGCATATCATTAGCCCTACGAAGTTTGAGCGCTCACTTGTTAGTAACTCAGTGGTGTTTGCTATTGTTGTTATGGAGGTCCCACCGAACTCTGCAATAGAGAGCCCTATTGAAGTTCAATCATTTCTTCAAGAGTTTCGAGATGTATTCCCGGAAGACCTACCTAACGAATTACCTCCCCTGCGGGATATTCAGCATGCCATAGATTTCGTCCCAGGGACATCCCTTCCAAATTTGTCTCATTATAGGATGAATTCTATCGAGCATGCTGAACTCCAGAGGCAAGTAGACGAACTCCTTCGCAAGGGGTTCATTCATGAGAGTTTAAGCCCTTGTGCAGTTCTCGCCCTGTTGACCCCTAAGAAGGATGATTCTTAGAGAATGTGTGGACAATCGTACCATTAATAGGATTACAGTGAAGTATCATTTTCCCATTCCTAGACTTGACGATATGCTAGATATGATGGTTGGTGCTACAATCTTTTCGAAGACTGATCTGAAGAGTGGATACCGTCAGATTAGAATTCGCCTAGGTGATAAATGGAAGATCGCCTTTAAAACGAAAGATGGTCTTTATGAATGGCTGGTCATGCCTTTTGGGCTAAGCAACACGTCGAGTACCTTTATGCGGGTAATGATACAAACTCTTCGACCTTTCATGAGTAAGTTTCTTGTTGTCTACTTTGATGATATTCTCATCTATAGTAAGACTAAGGAGCAACACCGTGACCATCTCACACAAGTTTGTTCTACTGCTAACGTCAAGAAGTGCTATTTCTTCATCGATACAGTCATTTTCCTAGGTTTCATTGTCTCTTCGATAAGGGTATCTACTGATCTTACCAAGATTCAAGCGATTCTTGACTGGTCTGAACCTAAGACTATTCATGACGTCAGGGAGCTTTTATAACTTAGCTACATTTTACTGTAACTTTATTAAGGGGTTCAACACCATTATGGCGCCTATTACGGAGTGCATGAAGAAAGGGGAGTTTCACTGGACACAAGAAGCGGCTAAGGCCTTTAAGTTGGTCAAGAAGCGAATAACACAGACTCCTGTCATGCGTCTTCCTGATTTTTCCAAAGTCTTTGAGGTAGAGTGTGATGCGTCCGGGGTAGTTATAGGCGGAGTTTTGAGTCAAGATCGTCACCCTGTCGCTTACTTCAGTGAGAAGTTAAATGAGGCCAAACAACTGTACTGAACTTATGATAAGGAACTGTATACGGTGGTCCAGACTTTGTGCTATTAGCACCACTATTTGTTGCTCCAGG